GAAAACGCTGGAAGGGCTCAGTTGCCGCAGCCGCAACAGCTGCTGTTGTTGTTGTTGTTGCTCATGGTGTAGCAGCAGGACATGGGCATGCAGCACGACATGGGCATGCAGCAGGACTGCATGGGCATGCAGCAGGGCGAGCAGCAGGACGAGCAGCACTGCATGGGGCTGCAGCACATGGGCCGCTTGCAGCACTTGGGGCTGCTGTARCAGCACACGGTGCAACTGTTACCGCCACTACTACCGCCGCAGCATCCGCTCATCTTGGGTATGGGAGGGGAGGCAAAGCTGGAAGGGAAAGAGAGAGTTTGACATTTTCTCTGCTTGGATCGGCCAGAGGMTGAGGCAGCTCAAAGCGTTTTTATCCCCAAATCCATCCCAGACTGGCCAGGGAAGTGCCTGGTGCCCAGAATCCCAGGACAGGCTCTCCCTGGAATCACATTCCCGCATTTGGCATTTTGGCCAGCATTGGTTCTGCCACAGAGAAACCACCCAAGTGCAACCCAAAACCAATCTGTGATCCCAAAACCAATCCATGATCCCAAAACCAATCCATGATCCCAAGTCTTCCTCAGTGTCCAGTTCTGAACCAAACAGCCCAGAAAATCCTGGAGAAGCCCACGAAAACACAGCAGAGTCCCAAAGCAAAGGCGAGCAGCGATGTCCAACTTACCCTGCTGAGCASTGGAGTCAGGAGAGGAGAGCTGGAGACGATTGAATGAAGACCCCTGGGCTGGGGAGCCTTTTATCCGCTCCAGAGCCTCCTCCCCTGGAAATGAGGCATCCCTYGGCAATCCTGACACCCCCTGCATCACCCGGGGTGTCCCCTCAYGTGGCTTCCGGTGTTTAATCTTTGCCTCTTTCTGTTTGCTCACCACCCCSATTGTGCCCCATAATTACTCATCCAGAGGAACAACAGATGCAAATTTTTTTCTAATGGATTTGCGTTAATGGGACCGGAGGTTCCCATCCGGAATCACCTTGGGACACCACGGGAACGCTCAGCAATGYGCCCGGGGCCAGGTGGATGCTGAAGCAGTGGGACAACCACGCCTGGAACTTGGAATTGTCATTGTTCAGGTGTCCCCTCTGCCCTTGGCTGGGATTTTTGGGGGCCAGAGGACACTATTGGTCAACAGGGACCCTTTTTTCYCTGCCTTTGTGGTCAAAATTTAGGYTGAAATTTCCCCTTTCTCAGTCTTGCTCTTGGGTCTCCCTTCAGGGTTCTGCATCCTCACACTCCCCATGTATAATTTTTATTGCATTATTCAGATTTTCTTTCATTTTTGTCAATGGAATGGATGGATGGAGTCCTAATGAAGCAGCTTTCAAAACACCAGTGAGGGTTTCTCCAGGTTGGTTCCATGCATCCCATTTTCTGRGATTATTCCCAAGGTTTGTGAGACTGAGGAAAACTGTGGTGACCACATTTGAGTGTCTACATGAGGAACTGTGGCCTCGTGCAGCTCCATGTTGGAAGGTGATGACAGCGGCCTCCATCCACTAAAATATTGGAATTCCAGGATGCTGAGGCAGCACCAATTCCTGGCAAAAAGAGGGGCTTTCATCACCTTCAGCAGACCCTGACTGCGAGTCTGACGTGGTAGCAGGTGATCCCAGGTGACTGGGACAGGATCTGCCTTTCCAGGATGTGACCAGGACCTCCTGTGACGTCTCGTGTCCCTGCTGGAATTGTCCCCAGGGGAGCATTGTTTCTGTGGCTCGATAATGACCAGGAGTTGCTGCAGGAAGCGATGTCCTCCTTGTGTAAACCCTCAAACATCTCCCCTGAATCAATCGTTCATTGAATTGTTCATCATCGTTTTTGTCGGGTTTTATTGTTGCCGTYGGCCAAGACGATCCCGGTGTTGYAGCCATAGGAAMATGGATTTTTCCACCCCACGKTTTRGGGTGGAAGAGACCTCAAAAGCTCATCCAGTCCAACCCTCCCTGCCATGGGACTCCTTCTCCTACCTCAGGGTGCTCCAAGCCCTGTCCAGCCTGGCCTTGAGCACTTCCAGGGATGGGMCAYCCATGGAATGACCYATGCCAGGGCCTCCCCACCCTCACAGGGAGGAATTTCTTCCCAATATCCCATCTAAACCCATTTCTTTTCCAGGCTGAACCAACCCAAACACTCTCAACATTTATGAAATTTTCCCTGCTGGTCGATGCCATTTATCCTAGACTTGGGTTGGAAATAACTTCTACACCAAGTCAGTTTTACAGGGGATATCCCATCCTGTGGTGTCTTTGGGAAGCTTCAGTGGTGTTTCTGTGAGTTTGAATTGCAAGGTCTTTGTGAATCTGTTCCTAAAGCCAGGTTGGACGGAGCTCTGGTCAAGCTGGAGGTGTCCCTRTCCATGAWGGGAGGTTGGRACGAGAYGSTTTTTAACGTCCCTTCCAAMCCAAACCATTCCTCAATTCCGTGACTCAAAGACRGAATGAATATTCCCAAGATTCCCTRAACAGAATGCACTCCTATARAAAYGTGATATGGGATTYCCTYCTCTTTGTGCTTTGTGCCWGATTTACTGTAAATAAAAACCATCCTGGAGACCCAGGGARTGTTTTCAGGAGAGCAAAACACGTAGAGAAGATTATTTTAATGCAGACTTCTCGTATGGAGATTGGAGGAAGCAAATCAAGCCAGAGCTCCGGGCGCTTTCCCCAGACCTGCAATTCTGAACTGAGTCCTGAATTTTAATAGCAAAGAAAGTCCCAGCCAGGGCGGGAAGGCATCGTTGACTCATGGCTTTATTATTTTAGGAATGAAGCTTTTAAACCGGATGCCAACCCCAGGATTCATTCCAGGGCTGGTAGTCCAGGAACGTTCAGGGGAAACGCTGGTTGAAAACCATTGGARYGATTTCAATTTCATTGAAAACAACRAAAAACCATTCACGGATTTCAGAGGGTGATGAAACTTTTATTTTTGGAAGATGGTGGAGGGAAGAAGATGCTGCCGGCTGTTCAGTGAGTAAAGAATTCCTCTCGGTATCTGTTGGAGCACCCCTCCTGAGATCAGGGATGAGCTCCTGAGTTTCTCATGGCTGTCCAGACCTTCCTCCCGAGGGGCAGCTCTGATCCCAGCTCTGGGACCAGGACAGGACTGAGGGAACTGTTGGAGCTGTGTGAGGGAGGTCTAGTTTGGTTATTTCTGGAAAGTTCTTTCCCCAGAGGGTGGTGGGGCACTGCCCAGGCTCCCCAGGGAATGGGCGCTGCCCCAAGGCTGCCAGAGCTCAAGGATTATTTGGACAACGCTCTTAGGGACAGGGTGGGATTTTGGGGGGTTCTGTGCAGGGTCAGGGGTTGGACTCCATTATTCTGGTGGATCTTTTCCAAGTCAGGATTTTCTAGGATTCTGTGATGTGTGAAAATGTGTTTTCAGATAACAGAATTACACCTCATTCAATCCCTGTTTTTTGAGTTTTGATTCCTTCGCCTTTTTTTTTGTGGTAAAACCTCAGCTGAGGCAAATGACCAGGAGGGGCAAGAAGGGTTCATGGAAATATGGAATGGTTTGGGTTGGAAAGGACTTTAAAGATCATCCAGAGCCACCCCCTGCTGTGGGACACCTTCCCCTATCCCAGGGTGCACCAAACCCCATCCAATCTGGCCTTGGACCCCTCCAGGGATGGGACAGCCACAGCTGCTCTGGGCAGTTCCAGAGGATCAGGCTGCTCTGCTGATCTGCTCGGACATGACCTGGTTTGTGCCTGGATGGCCTTTTGTGTCCTGAATATTCTGCTGCGCCACTGGGACACACCCAGGACCTTGGCCAAAGGCACAGACGGAACCTAAATGAGGACAAACTCTGGGCAAAGTGACAAGTAAAGGGCAAAGTGACAAGGGAAGGGCAAAGTGACAAGGAAAGGGCAAAGTCATGCAAGAACAACCAAAAGACCAAATATTGGGTTTTGCTGAATGCTAAATTTTATTGTCTACAAGTCGAAAGAGGAAATGAAAAACGATCACAATGACAGGTTCCCCAAACACCAAGAGGAGAATGAACACCCACTAACATCTAAAGCCTCGTCCACTGGGTGATCACTTCCAGTGTGGTCAAGACAGTCAATAATTAAAGATAGTCGGTAACTAAAGACAATAATTAAAGGACAGAAAGAAGCAGCATCTTAAGCTTGAAAAGAGGAAGAGACTCTCAATGAGTTGGCTCCATCATGGTGAGCACTGGAGGCGAACGAGGAGCTCTTCACCTCCTGGTGTCCCATCAGGGTTGGAGCTGACACGGGATGGGCTCAGCAGCTCTTCTTGAGGCTGGCACAGCACTGCTGGATGGGGATGCAGGGGGTGCAGCACTTCCTCAGCGGGGTGCAGCACACCACCGGCTTCTTCACCACGCAAGTGTAGCACCTGCAGGGGCTGCAGCAGGGCTGCGGCACGCAGCACACGGACTTCTTGCACACCTTGGTGCAGCACACGGACTGGCACGGGTCACAGCACACAGACTGGCACGGGTCACAGCATGGCTTCTGGCATGGGTCACAGCAAGGCTTCTGGCACGGGTCACAGCACACGGACTGGCACGGGTCACAGCATGGCTTCTGGCATGGGTCACAGCACACAGACTGGCACGGGTCACAGCATGGCTTCTGGCATGGGTCACAACAGACAGTCTGGCACGGGTCACAGCATGGCTTCTGGCACGGGTCACAGCACACGGTCTGGCACGGGTCACAGCACGGCTTCTGGCACGGGTCACAGCACACAGACTGGCACGGGTCACAGCATGGCTTCTGGCATGGGTCACAGCAGACAGTCTGGCAGGGATCACAGCACGGCTTCTGGCACGGGTCACAGCACACGGACTGGCATGGGTCACAACACGGCTTCTGGCACGGGTCACAGCACACAGTCTGGCATGGGTCACAACAGGGCTTCTGGCACGGGTCACAGCAGACGGTCTGGCACGGGTCACAACAGGGCTTCTGGCACGGGTCACAGCAGACGGTCTGGCATGGATCACAGCATGGTTTCTGGCATGGGTCACAGCACACAGACTGGCATGGGTCACAGCATGGCTTCTGGCAGGGATCACAGCAGGGTTTCTGGCAGGGATCACAGCAGACGGTCTGACACGGGTCACAACAAGGCTTCTGGCATGGGTCACAACACACGGTCTGGCATGGATCACAGCAGGGCTTCTGGCACGGGTCACAGCACACAGTTTGGCATGGATCACAGCATGGTTTCTGGCACGGGTCACAGCACACGGTCTGGCATGGGTCACAGCATGGCTTCTGGCACGGGTCACAACAGACAGTCTGGCACGGGTCACAGCATGGCTTCTGGCATGGGTCACAGCATGGCTTCTGGCACGGGTCACAACAGACCGTCTTGCAGGGCTCACAGCACACACTCTTGCACGGGTCACAGCACACACTCTTGCACGGGTC